TCCACAACTCTTACCCTGCGTATGCAAATCTTTTTGACGTCATTCTACCTTCATACTGCACAATATTAACTCTTGGGAGCTTGACTCCAGCAGGAAAACATTTATATCTGTAATACACACACACACACACACACACGCACACGTTTGCTCACTGAAACCCACATATGTTGCAAACGCACATGTGCAGATGCGCATTTTGTTCAACATAAAGGCGTGTGTGGAAAATATCGCACTGCTTTAGCTTATTGACTACAGATGGATTGGGTCAATAATGATGGTTCTGTCAAATGCATACTCACTGCTGGAGATGCGTATTTGTGGGCGTGTCTTTCCATATCCTTTTTTAGAAAGTGGTTTGTAGCCTTTCATTGGTCTTAGTTTATTTCAGTTTGTGTGTATGTTTGTGAAAATCACTAAGTGTTTACTAAATCGTCATATGTCCTCTTTGTGAACAGGGACAAAAAGGCCATCCAGGACCACCAGGCCTTCCCGGGGAACCAGTGAGTAATGCAGACAAACCCTGTTACACAAACAAACAAGCACATAAACAAACACTCAAAGTGTGAGGATATACTCACCTGAGTCAAAAACCTACGTCACAAGTCATAACTAATCCATGGAGATTTTTACCTCTTAAAATACACACACAGACATTCACATGACAAGAAAAAGTGCTTATAAAGCCCTCTGTGTTATTTAAGGTGAACCGTCCACTCAAGTCAAAAGTTTAGTGAGAGGAAAGACAAACACTCCCAGAGGAAAGTTTTATAGCTCAGAGTGTGTTCTTTCGTAACTCGGGAGCCTTAAATGTGAAGCGTGTAATTTCTGTGCCCAGCATCACCAAACAGAATTTCAAAAATAATGATTGATTTTAAAATAATTTGCGGAAATCACTCTTCCTGCCCACCATTGGTCATACAAACAAATAGCCCCGCCCCCAAACTTGTGCCATTGGTTGAACAAATATAGCCCTTGTTGGCAGATCTCATAACTACACACTTTGCGTTTATACATTATGTATACATTTTACTGTTTCTTTATGCTATAGTAAATTTAACAGTTTTACCAGTGTCTAATTCTGTTTTTAAGGTCTTTTAGTTTTTTTTTCTTTTGGTAGAAAAGGAAAGAAATCAACAATGACATACTTTACTTTTAAAAGTGAGTTCTTGAGTTCTCAGGTATTTAATTTTTGAGCATCAAATATTCTTCCTTAAAATTCTTTTGGAGAAATAAAAATAGTGAAAATGAGTTGTCGACAGAGCAAGAGCTATAAAATGAATATGACTAGCAGCTCTTAATGAATTTGCTGAGAAATGTTTGAGTTCATATTCTTCTTTCTGCGTGCTGCGTGTTTTATGCTTCATTTGGAAATCAAATATCACACCCAAACGCAAATATTAAGTTGTTCAAAAAGTATCAGACACATTCATCCACCAGCGTACACAGATGTACAGAAATCATGTTGTTTAGACATTATCGCTCCTTATATTTCCCATCACATCACACTAATGAATATTTCCTACATTTATTTTTAAAAAAGCCTTAATATTATATAGACTTAACCCACATTTATGTATAAATGAATATGATTGCATTCGTTCAAATTGTCAACTCAAAACTGCATCTAACTTCACTTTTCTTCATCGTTTTTGCTTAATGTCTTTGAATCAGCTCGATGTAGTACATCACATGAACACATTAAATACTGTCACAATACTGTCTTCAATTTCAACAGTAAATCTATTGATTTATCATTTCAAACCCAACAAACAAAATACATTTAGCTTGATTGTTCTTTTTCTTTCAAATGAAAACCATCGTTTGGTGTTTTGTTCCAAATATAGTGTAGTGACATTCATGCATTTTACATGTTCAGACACTTTTTGTGGTCTTTAAAATATATCCATGTACTTTAATAAATATCAGGAGAACCAACATTTCTCTTTGTCTTGTTTTACAGGGGGAACAAGGTCCTGATGGAGAAGCTGGAGCCAAAGGCTATCCTGGCAGGCAGGTGCAGTAGATCTTCCTCTGCTGTGTGGTGTGTATGTGTGTGCATGTGTTCGTTTGTTCGATTGAGTGTGTTTTGCCTTGTTTTTCATTAGCTGCTCATGGAAAATATGCAATTAATTTAGCAGTACGTTGCCCTGGCATCGAAATTGGGCTTTGTTCAGTATAGCTGCGGGCCACCGCGATTTAAAATCACAGCATTCAATTATAGGAAAGGGTGTATTTGCTCACTCTGACCACTTAGTATCGGGATGTTTTGATATGCTTGTGTTGTTTTCATTGATGGAGTTTTGGATTTAATCAGAATAAATCTCCATCCTTTTGAAATATGCATCCAGAACCACAATCCTTTGGTTTTTAACACATCTCGAGCTCATTGAAGTTGTTTGTATTGAAACATATAAAACGGTTCTTTGGAATACGTAAGTCTGATTGGTCAGTCGATGCATTCTGTGGTCAAATATCACTTTACTGTTTTTTCTTCTCACATAATAAAATCATTCAAGAAGTCAAATCAATATTTCACATAATTTAATTATTGATTTTGTCATCATTGCAAATGAACCCATTTTTCCTTTTTATGACCTAACCAAATCAAGAAAAAGCTAATTTGTCAAACATTTACCATTGCTATTTTGTCAGCCTAAATTTGAAAATATTTATTAAAGAAAAGATATAATATAGCTATAAAATATAAAAAATATATTATAAATAAACAAATAAAATATAAAGGTGTTTTGTGGCTCTTTAATAAATGAAGCCAATGATAAGACCATTATAAGTTCATCATGGTTTTTGTTGTTGTGGGCACACAAGTTTGGATACTTACTAAAAGAAACAAGCTATTCATTTTGGTTCCATTTTGCCTGTTAAATGATGTGTGTTGATTAAATCCTAAGCTTGTTTCTGAAGCCTCTCTCTCTCTTTCTTCTCTTCCAGGGTTTACCTGGTCCAATAGGGCCTGTTGGGCCAAAAGGGGCTCGGGTGTGTACACGTCTTTTCCCGTTTGATGTATGATTGCAACTTACAAAGCTGTCATTGTGACATTTGAGCTGTCTGAGTTGGCCGATAGTTACCGTTGCTAGGCTATTTGCATTGATCTTTTACAAAGCTAAAAATGTAGCTTACGACTTAGTTGAGTTTTAAAGTCAAGTGATTTGACCTCGACTCCATAAGAGAGATTTTTACTGCTACAGCTTCTCTTTTCTTTCGTCCCCCTGGTTTTTCCTTTTTCTGTTTTTTGAGTCAACAGAGACTCAACCATGACAAATTTGCTGCTGACAGCTGCCCGAGTCATAAGTGTGCGTTTATGTGTGTTTTTAGCCTCCTACGGTCACATTACCATGTTCATATGTACAGCCACCTTCATTTATATTGCCCTGTCGTCTATTTGATGTATTCAGAAACAATTTATATTTTATTCTCACTGTGCCACTTTATACATATACATTTTTATATAGCGTGCTCACACACACACGCACTTTAGCTGTTGTGTTTGTAGTCAAGCTGTATTAAAGGCTCTTTATCAGGCTAGGCTCTGCCCCCATTGGCTGGAATTTCCTGTTTAAAATCAGACTGAGGCCCTGCTGTTTTTAGGCACCGCACATACACACACAGACACGTCTTCCAATCAGTGCTGTGTAGAAACTGATTACGTGCAATCTGGATTACGTAATCAGATTCCAAATATAAAGTACTTGAAATTAGATTATATTACATTTTAAAATGCTCATAATTAGATTACATCTTTATGTTTTACAAAATTATTTACACAGTGGCAATAAACTATTCGTAAATTGATTGATTCACCCCAGTTCTTTTTTTTCCTTTCTAAATGAACCTACCAGTGATATACAGTTTGGGAAACCCTGCTGTAATGTAATGTTTAATGCTTTTCATGATGTTGATATAGAATGAAATATATTTTCTTTCGCTTTGTTTTTTTTGTTTTTTTAAATGAATAAGGAACACCATAATCCCATTCAAGTCTATGTGATAAATGAAAAGTAATCTAAACGTAATCAGAAAGTAGTCAGACTACATTACCTAATATTTGTAATTCAGATTATGTTACTAACTACAATTTTCATCATGTAATTGTAATTTGGAATTGTAGTCCATTACTGATTCCAAATTACGTGACAAAAATTGTTTTAGTAACGTAATCCATTGCATTACACATTTTAGGTAATATAATCGGATTACTTTTTGATTACTTTTTGATTACTTTTAGATTACTTTTAGATTACGTGTGACTCGTTTATTGCGTTGATTTAAATTGGATAATCTTGTACCATATTGATATAAAAATGCAAAGAGAATAAAAATATATTCCAGTTGTTATTAGCGACATGAAGTCCATTTAGCATTACGTCAAGGTTCGTTAAACTGGGGTTCATGAAGCATTTTAATGTGTTTGAAAGACGCAGGCCTTCCAAAGACAAAGTCTTGTGTGTATAATATGTAATCATGTAATCAATAAAAAAGTTACTGTAGTCTGATTATGAGTATTTTAAAATGCAATATAATCTAATTACAAGTACTTAATTTTTGACATCTGATTACGTAATCCAAATCGCATATAATCAGTTACTACCCAGCACTGTTTACTTAAAATATCTTTAGAGAAAAGTATTATTTTTCCTATTTTTACCCAAAATAGGGTGGTGTGAGCATTATGGAACGCTATAAACACATGTAATGTACGTTTTATTCATACTGGCGTCCTCATGCAGAAACTCCAAATATGCCTCACTAAAGTAATATAACTTATGACGTTCCACGAAATCCCTAATATGGACAAAGGCATCCAGAAATGCTTTAACTGAGCACTCATGAAGACAATAAACACACAACTGTGACAATATATGGTTTATCTGTGTTCTTCAAGCCATCTTGGGTATTTTCCTAAGAAATAAAACAATTTTGACAACACTAATGTCGACACGTAAAAGCATCTTGCATGGAATTTTTGCTGGCTGTTTGTGGGAGTGTTATTGTTGTACCCTTTGTTTGTGCATGTTGTCATCGTTTGTTCCCTGAAGTGAGCGTATGTGCCCTTGGACTACATTGTGGAGGCCAGCACCATGCAGTCCATGGGCATATACTCTTACTTCATGGCCTGCATCAACACGAAGACGTCCATCCGTTCATCCATCCATGACCTCTCCATTCATCTGTCCGTCCGCGTGATCAGTTCATACGGTGGATTTAGAGAAAAGTATTATTTTTCCTATTTTTACCCAAAATAGGGTGGTGTGAGCATTATGGAACGCTATAAACACATGTAATGTACGTTTTATTCATACTGGCGTCCTCATGCAGAAACTCCAAATATGCCTCACTAAAGTAATATAACTTATGACGTTCCACGAAATCCCTAATATGGACAAAGGCATCCAGAAATGCTTTAACTGAGCACTCATGAAGACAATAAACACACAACTGTGACAATATATGGTTTATCTGTGTTCTTCAAGCCATCTTGGGTATTTTCCTAAGAAATAAAACAATTTTGACAACACTAATGTCGACACGTAAAAGCATCTTGCATGGAATTTTTGCTGGATGTTTGTGGGAGTGTTATTGTTGTACCCTTTATTTGTGCATGTTGTCATCGTTTGTTCCCTGAAGTGAGCGTATGTGCCCTTGGACTACATTGTGGAGGCCAGCACCATGCAGTCCATGGGCATATACACTTACTTCATGGCCTGCATCAACACAAAGATGTCCATCCGTTCATCCATCCATGACCTCTCCATTCATCTGTCCGTCCTCGTGATCAGTTCATACGGTGGATGTCTGCTATTGGATTGATTGGAAGATTAAAGTCTTAAAAGATGATTAGTTTTCTTATTCAGGAGAGTCTATATGTAAATATTAACTTGTCTCAGATGTTTCTCCCTAAACTGTTGATGAACGAAAAGTACAGATCTATGAAATGAATGTGGATAGCATAATAAGCAACCACCTAGAACACCCTAGCAACCACTTAGAAAACCTTAGCAACCATATACTATGTAAAAGCTACCCAGAACACCTTAGCAACCACCTACAACACCCTAGCAATCACTTAGAACACCTTAGCAACCATATACCATGTAGCAGCTACCCAGAACACCTTAGCAACCACCTAGAACACCCTAGCAACCACTTAGAACACCTTAGCAACCATATACTTTGTAGAAGCTACCCAGAACACCTAAGCAACCACCTAGAACACCCTAGTAACCACTTAGAACAATTTAGCAACCATATACCACATAGAAGCTACCCAGAACTCTTTAGCAACTACCTAGAATGCCCAAGCAATCACTTAGCAACTACTGAAACACTTTAGAAACCATCTAGAACACCCTAGCAACAATATAGCAACAACTCAGAACAGCTTAGCAACGACTCAACGACTTAGCAACAGTATAGGAACTACTTAGAACACCTTAGCAAACACCTCGAATGTCCTAGCAACTACATAAACACCTTAGCAACCATCTAGAACACCCTAGCAACAATATAGCAACAACCCAGAACAGCTTAGCAACGACTCAAAACACCCCAGTAACCACATGTCAAGTATCCTGAACACCACTGTTACTGGAAAAAATGAGATATTTAAAAAGCGTGATTTGTGATCTTTCTTTGCTATTTTCCTCTGCTCCAGGCATCAATATTTAGCTTCCCTCTTTTTCTCTGTTTCGTCATAGGGTTTTATTGGAATCCCTGGACTCTTTGGTTTACCTGGAGCTGATGGTGAAAGAGTGAGTCTGTTCATGTTATGACTCATTTCTCAGCAGTCATGTGATCATAACAGACTCATCAGTGGGCGAATGTTCCAGCAAATGGCTGTTGTGTAACGCCGCTCAAGTACTTTACATGAATCTGTTAAAACTCCCACAGATACAAATACCTCATTAATGCAGTCACATCATCGACATGAACCATAAAATATGATTTCCTAATCATAGTGTACTAAACACCAAACACTAATTACTAAACATATGCAATTAATTCAGACTGCATTTAATCAATTTGTGTAAAGATCAGAAGTTTAAATTTAGAAAACATAGAATGTTCAGCATTCAAAGTATAAATAACAGCAATTATGTCAATGTAATATTTGCATTCTGAATTTGATTTGATCTCATCTGCCTTGAAAATATTTAGCTTTTAATAGCACAGTGACTACTGCTGTGTCCGATGTCACATTCTTTAAGAGTGTCCACTGAATCAATCCTACTCATTGTAACACTGCGTTTTTGCATACTACGGTATATAGTCAATGCTGGGCAGTAACTGATTACATGTAATCTGGATTACGTTATCAGATTACAAAAATAAAGCATTTGTAATTAGAGTATATTGCATAAAATGCTCATAATCAGATTACAGTTACTTTTTATGGATTACATGATTACATATTATTCACACAATGGCAGTAAATTCATAATTTATTCATAGTTTGGGAAACCCTGCTGTAATCTAATGTTTAATGCATTTCTTGATGTTGATAAAGGATGGAATATATTTTCTTTCTTTTTCTTTCTCTTAGTTTTTTCTCTAATATGGTACACAATAATACCATTCAAGTCTATGTGATAAACTAGTTAGGTCAAAAGTAATCTAAAAAATAATCAAGAAGTAGTCAGACTACATTACCTAATATGTGTAATCCAGATTATGTTACTAACTACAATTTTCGTCATGTAATTTGTAATCAGTAATGAACTACAATTTGTACAATTTCTTAAAAAAAAAAAAAACATGCACCTTTTAGACTTGCACTCTATTCATTTACTAACTGTTTGTTTTCTTTTTATTTATTATACAATTAACAAAAGCAAAAGAAAAGGCCTCTAACACTAGCTTGCTCTATTCTTATTAATTATTATATAATTAAAAAAAAAACCTTGCTACATGTACTGCGTTAAGATAACTGAGACTTGTTATAGCACTTGCATATCATTGTTCTCTCTTGTTGATTTTGATTGCTTCCATTGTCCTCATTTGTAAGTCGCTTTGGATAAAAGCATCTGCTAAATGACTAAATGTAAATGTTATGTAATGTAATGTAAGTAATCTACTAGCTTGCTCTATTCTTTTTCTATTCTATCTGTTTTCTTTTTATTTATTATATTATTTAAAAAACCCTTGCTACATGTACTGCGTTAAGATAACTGAGACTTGTTATAGCACTTGCATATCATTGTTCTCTCTTGTTGATTTTGATTGCTTCCATTGTCCTCATTTGTAAGTCGCTTTGGATGAAAGCATCTACTAAATGACTAAATGTAAATGTTATGTAATGTAATGTAAGTAATCTACCCAGCATTGTATATAGTGTATAGGAAAATGCTGATACTTGCTTGTTCTTACAAACACAGTGTGTTTCCTGAAGAAAAAACAAATCTAGTTATCTATTCCTGTTCTAGTTCTGACTGCTGTTACAGTTATTAATATGGAAATAGATTAGTGGTAGATTTTTAAATCAAGTGCTGCCCACTACTGGTAGATAGATGTATGCCAGTAGATTCCATCATTGAAATGTGTGTGTGTGTGTGTGTGTGTGTGCTGTAAAAGTGGAAACTACTTCCAGCTGGTTCTGGCCTTCATCTGAGGGTGTTTGGATGAGTCATATGATAGCAGAGTGTATACACACACACACACGCACACACACACACACACACACACACGACCCTGGACCACAAAACCGGTCATAAGGGTCAATATTTGGAAATTGAGATTTATACATCTGAAAGCTGAAAAAATAGGCTTTCTATTGATTTATGCTTTATTAGGATAGGACAACATTTAGCCGAGATACAATTCACACACACACACACACACACAGACAGACAGACAGACAGACAGACAGACAGAAACAGTGCTTCTTTCTAATGGTATAAGACTTTTAATTATTATTAGCATTTATTTAGTGTCTGTCTCTTTCTCTGTCTCTCTATCTTTTTCAGGGTAGTCCTGGTCCACCGGGGAAGAGGGGCAAGATGGGTAGGCCGGTAAAGTTTTGTCTCAACATACTTTATAGATACAGATGTGATTTTTTTGTGAGCATGTGTTTGAAATGTAAAAAAAAAAGTTATAAGATAAATTAATTTTATTGTATTGCATGGCCCTGCAGTGTAATAAAAAGTACAAACATTCCATGTAGTTTCTCAATATGAGGCCATTAAAGCTTCTTGCATAATAATTAGAAAATAATTATTTCTTAAATATTAGTTATTTTTATCATGAAATTATCATTGTCCCTTGGGCTTGGGACACAACCGATACACACACACACATACATATACACACTTACTAAGATGCAGAATCAGCCACACAGAGGTTGTTTAAATCAGCACAACCTTTGACATCTGACCTCATAGACTTCCTGTTGAATCAGCAGGGCTCAGTGTGTTATCTGTGTGATGTCATCATTAGCAGCGTTAGCTACCGCTGTCGCTCATGCTAAGGGTTAGTGATTCGAACAATCCCCATAATCCACAGTTTGGTGGGAACATGCTGGATAGACACATGCTAAAAACATTCAGAAAATCCACCACATACCATTGACCTAGCAACCACTTAGAACACCTTAGCAACTGCATACCAGTGGCCTGACAACCATCTAGAACACCCCAGCCTCCACTCAGAACACCTTAGCAAGTGCATAGCAATATCCTAGCAACCACATACCAACTCAGATCACCTTAGCAACCACTCATAACACCTAAGCAACCATCCAGAATAGCCCAGCAAACATTCAGAACACCTTAACAACCATCCAGAACACCTTAACCATGCAGAACACCCTAGTAACCACTCAGAAAACATAAGCAACCACATAGCAATCGCCTAGCAATGGTCCAGAACACCCTAGCAACCATGCTCTGGCAACCACTCACAATGTAGCTTTGTGGAGGCCACTTATGCTTCTTTAGAAAAGTCTAATTGTTTAAATATTCAGTGACTGTGATAGGCATGTGTTGTATTGTCTCTGTCTCTCTCTCAGGGTTTTCCTGGTGATTTTGGAGAGAGGGGCCCACCAGGACTGGACGGGGAGCCAGTGAGTTTAAAACTTGGTTTTTCATGCATATTCTTTTGTCTTTTTCTCATAAAGCAGATAAAACACTCACAACAGCAGTGTTGTATCTTCTGTACACGTTTCTTTGTTTAAGTTGGTATGGAAGACAAATTTAATTTGTCAAATACAAACAAGGCTGTGAAGGGTATGCTGAATATAAATAACTTAAAACAGCATAAGGTGGTTTGCTGGTTGTAAGGAGTCCCGCAGCCTGGCTTTGCTGGTCTGGTTTGCTGGTTTTAAAGGGTTTTTGGGCACTTGTAAACTAGTCAGCCTGGGAGACTGCCTTAAACCAGCTAAGACTAGCAAACCATCTTAGGCTGATTTATTTATAGATTCATTTAATTATTAGATTTTCGTCTACTGGACTTTTATTTTATTTTTCATTAATTAATTAATTAATTATTTCATTCATTCAGATATTTATGTATTTATTTATTTTTATTAATTCATTAGGGAAGGTGTTAGATCCTGCCTCTTTGCCCACTGGGATTTAATTTTATTTTTTAAATTAATTATTTTTATTTTTTTATTAATAATTTATTTAATTAATTTTATTAATTTTATTTATTTCAGTAGGGAATGCGTTAGATCATGTCTTTTTTAAACTAGAACTTCTTTGGGAAGGGGGGACTTTCATTCACATCGAATCTGTCCTTACTAAGGTCAATATCATAATAATTAATTATCATTCCCAAAAATGTCTCTGATTGGTTGGAGTAGGTGACATCATATCAGGAAGTGTTTGAGTCAAATCCCGCCTCTTTTTCACCTGTAAATGCGGGGACTGTAAGAGGAAGTTGAAAGCCTTCTCATTTCCTGTTCTCCCTTTCCTGAAAAGAGGAGTGAAGTGCTCCTTTCATCCTTTCATCCTTTCATCACACCAGGGGAACGAGAGGAAATGGCTCCGGCACGCTGCTGCAGAGCCAACAACAAACCATCTCTGTTTCTAGAAAAACACTCACACATGCTCGCTCTACGACACACACTCATTTGAACGGTCATATTAATATCTCTGAATATGAAGAGGGTGCATTTACACAGCACATATTATAAATGACAGACATTTAGAGGTGCATGCATGTACTAACATATGAAGCACTGGCAGTCTGTACTTGTTTCAGATGGACGGAGTAACGCTCTGTGTGTTTCTGTGTTTCTATGTCAGGGTGTTATAGGGGCTCCTGGTCCTCCTGGTGTCCATGGATTGATTGTAAGTGAAATGGTTTACTTAAATTTATTTTAGAGGCAGATTTGTCCCCAAAAGTGAGCTAAATCTGACAAAACGAGGCATCCAGAGATGTCCTTGAAAAATGCTTCATGCATAATGAATAAGGTTTTTGTGTGAATGTAAGGATTTACGCTCCGCTAGAGTGACCAGATGACCTTAGTGAGAAAAATTGGGGCAGATCAGAGATGTAGAGCTTGAAATTATATGCAGGTGGAATGCAATATTTATTTTGTATTTTTTTACAATTTATGGAAGTGATGCAGAATATAGGGAACCAAAGAAACATTACATTAAAAATGGGTTTGATGCATTTGAACTTCAGCTAACTTAGACATAGACTAACTATTGATATTAAAATCCAACACAGCACAACTTTTGCTGACGTGAGGTGTAATATTTCTTCATTTTTTTTTAAAGAAAATTAATAATTAATATTTTTTTAAAGAAATTAATACCTTTATTCAGCAAGGATGCATTCAATTTGTTAGAAGTGACAGTAAATATATTTATAATGTTTCAAATAAATGCTGTTCTTTTGAACTTTTACTCATCAAAGAATCCTGAAAAAAATGTATCAATAAATTCCAAAAAAATATAAAGCAGCACAACAGTTTTCAACATTGATAATAATCAGAAATGTTTCTTGAGCAGCAAATTAGCATATTAGAATGATTTCTGAAGGATCATGTGACACTGAAGCCTGGAGTAAATTCAGGTTTGTCATCACAGAAATAAATTACATTTTAAAATATATTCAAGTAGAAAACAGTTATTTGAAATAGTAATAATATTTCACAATATTACTGTTTTTACTGTATTTTTGATCAGATAAATGCAGCCTTGGTGAGCTGAAGAGTCTTTCAGAAACATTTAAAAATTGTACCGACCACAAAACTGCTGAACGATAGTTTTGCAATCAAAGTAAATTTCTAAATAATCTTCGGTATTAATCACATCTCACCTATAACATTGTCACTGTCTGGTCACCCTGTGGTCAGCATTTATAAGCACACAGTGTTTCTGTTGTTGTAGTACAGCTGAAATCAGTTTGACCTGAACAGCGTGATATGCAAATAAGATCCACAATTGCTTTCACAAATTCTAGTATCTAGTATTGATAGTATTTTTTCTTTTAGTTTGTACTTGGGTGAGTAACGTGAGATCATGTGCCCCCTGCAGGCGCTCTTAGCATGATGTATTACCTCAATAAAACTAAGAACATTTATCAGATGAAGTTTTATAAGTTAGATCCTTCTCAAATTGGACATTTAAAAGCACATACAGCACTCATTCCCGTCTCTTCTCTAGGGTGATATGGGCCCTGTCGGGATTATCGGTTTGCCGGGACCAAATGGACTGAAAGTAAGTCATGCACATATGTACCCAACACATATCTCCATCACTCATGGCCACTTTAGCGTATATGTTTGTGTGTGTGTGTGTGTGTGTGTGTTTCAGGGCGTCCCAGGGAACATGGGCGAGCCCGGACTGAAAGGTGATAAGGTGATCTGAATACTCTGTTATTGGCCTGTTTTACAGCAGCATGTGATGGAAATTCTCTCTCCCCATTGGCCACACTGTGTTAAGCATGTTTTAAAAGCTCCAGCCTTAAAGGGATAGTTCAGCCAAAAATGAAAATTCTGTCATTAAAGGGTCATATGATGCGATTTCAATCTGTAAAATAATCCATGTGACATCAGGGGTTCAACCGTAATTTTATGAAGCTACGAGAATACTTTTGTGCGCAAAAGAAAAAAAAAAAAGACTTTATTCAACAATTCGTCTCCTCCGCATCACCCGTATGCTGTTCTGTGTCAGCTGCATCACACGGATACTCTGTTTCCATTCAGATCAAATCACAACAATGTAGGAAACAGATCCGGTGTGACGCAGCTGACATGCGCTGTTTACGTCCAGCTGATATTCTCCAAAATGGCTCTACAGGGTGACGCGGAGGAGACGAATTTTTGAATAAAGTCTTTTTTTTTTTTTCTTTTGCGCACAAAAAGTATTCTCGTAGCTTCGTAAAATTATGGTTGAACCCCTGATGTCACATGGATTATTTTACAGATCTCCTTGCTACGTTTCTGGACGTTGATCGTGTAAGGACACTTGCTGTCTATGGGAGGGTCAGACAGCTCTCAGATTCCATCAAAAATATCTTAATTTGTGTTCCGAAGATGAATGGAGGTCTTACGGGTTTGAAACAACATGAGGGTGAGTAATTAATGACAGAATTTTCATTTTTGGGTGAACTAACCCTTTAAGTAGCATGTAGTCGAAAAGATTTTATTTCGGTTAGTCAGAAGAAAATGTGAAATTTCTGTAGAGTTATATTTAAGGTACAAACACTAACAGGTTTTCTCTGTTAGTTTGCGAGAGAGAGAGTTGCTTCCAGGTTCAATACGTTAAACTCTATCAACAGCTTTTATGGCATAATGTTGATTATAATGCTCAATAATTTTGTTTTTAAATAAATAAATAAATACATTTATAATAAATAAACAGCGTTTATTTATTTATTTATGCGAAATGTGCTAAACTCTATTGACAGCTTTCATGGCATAATGTTGATCATAATGGTCAATAATTTAGTTTTTTAAATAATAAATAAAGGCATACATTCATTTTTTATAATAAACTATCTTTATTTATTTATTAAAGCAATGCACGTTAAACTCCATCGACAGCTTTTATGACATTTTATGACATTTTGGTCAAACATTTAGTTTTTTTAATGAAAAAATATATACATTTTTAATAAATAAATAACCTTTATTTTCATTTTAAACATCTTAAATCAATTTTTAAATCATTTTCAAAGTTTTTAAATTCCTTGTTTTATTGTTGTGATTATTTTTTATTATTATTTTCTTTTCTTTTATTTAAAGCACTTTGAATGACCATTGTGTATGAAATGTGCTATATAAATAAACTTGCCTTGCCTTTATTTATTTAGTTATTTACAGGAAAGCTGCTTTAAGTAAATCTGTAAATATTTTGGTATATTATTGATTATAATGGTCAGTGATTTAGGTTTTTAACAAAGAAACTTTATTTAAAGAAAATGTATTTTCAAATAAATAAAATAAATAATAATAATATAAAAAATAAATAAATAAATGCACAAACATTGGAAGTCTATAGGGCCAGCATTCTGGAAGCATTAAAAGTGGAAATGTAAAGCTTGCATTTTTTTCCCTTGCCCTAACTTAACCATCATGTTCCGTCACTTTCTCTGGTCTCTTTTCTGACATTGACTCACATCACAACTTGTTTCTCACTTTTTTTTTTTCTCTTTAACTTTTTCTCTCTCAGGGTGATGTTGGGCTTCCTGGAGAACAAGGGGAAATTGGGTTCTCAGGAGACAAGGTATACTTTCCATTTCCCCCTGTCAAATACACATTGGCACACTGTGACGTCTAGACGTCTGTTGTTTTGATTAAATCTGACCTTCTAATTGCCCCAATGTTAGAGCTTTCATAGACAGCTACACATGCACTCATGCTCTTGAACGAGTGTTTGTGCTAATATAATGACTATATAACTGTGTGCATATTATATTTGTTTGTTTCAGGGTGTGCAGGGTTTGTCAGGCTTACCTGGACCTCATGGAAAACCAGGACCACAGGTTTGTTTCTTATCTGTTTTGTATTTCTTTAAAAGAATAGCTCACTCAGACTGAAAATTCTATCATTTACTCTACTCTTTTACACATGTTGTTCCGTGAACGTGTATGACTCACTTTCTTCTGTGGAACACAAAAGCAACAGTTCTGCAGAATTGTATCGGTAGCATTTTTCTGTGTAATTAGTTCCCATGAGGACTGATGTTTTCTAGCTTAAAAAAAAAGTCTCAAAAGCACTCAACAGTTTTCCCTGTTACTTGTGCGCTGTTTTCAAAGTCACTATTTTCTTCTGAGCTCATACAGAATCACACATGTAGTATGAGTAGTATGCTGCTTTTTACATTCATTTTGGAGCTTGAAAGCCTCATTCTTCATTCAAATGTAATTGCATGTGAAAGAGCAGCATTACATTTCTTCAAAAAACTCCTTTTGTGTTCTATGGATGTAAGTGGTATTGGGGGAATCTGCATATGAAAATTGCTCAGTTGCTTGTCAGCTTTCTGTGATGTTGTGTATAGTGAGATTTTTGTTTGCAATTCTGAAAACGTATACTGAAAATGTGTGGTTTTGATATGGTTTTAGAGGCTTTAAAGTTGCATTGATAATGCATTACATAGTTTGTTAACTTCAAACTCACAACCTGTCAATAATATATACATTTTTATGCAAAATATATGTATTTTGTAATATTTGTTTCCTGGAATAACATAAAGAAGATGAATCATTCCTTTAAAATAATATATTTTTTTACCCATAATCAAGTATTAAAAAGCTAAATAAAATCCGTACAACATAGTGTAACTGAACTTCAATTTCTGCGAAAGTATTTTGTTGATTTGTGCAAAAAGTTTTTACTCAGTCATCGAATAACCTTAAAATAATCACAAGTTCCATGATTAATTTTCTTATATGCACAAAATAAAAAAATAAAACAAATAAATAAATATTTACACCCCTTCCCCAGCCTGTTAATATTCAATACAGTGACATAAATGCACAACATTTAAATTCAAATTCAGTTGTTTTTAATTACATAATTTACCCGAGAACAAATCAGAAGTTGTCCAATTATCAACATTCAAATCTGAGCGTATGGGGGTCCAGAGTACAATATCTAACAGTTTAACCTAAAATCTCATGATCTGAAGGTTCAGTTTATTTGATTATGTGTGTGCCCGTCAGCATATGTGTGTATTTGTGTGTTTTGAAGGGCAAGACAGGAGAAAGAGGGTCCAGTGGATTACCAGGCCCACCAGGACTCGAGGTATGAATCAACATGTACCACATAACCATAAAACACTGATGCTTTTGCATGTCTGAATGTGTTGCACCAGCTTGTACTATCGATGATGTCAGCAAATACAACTGATGCTGATTGGTTGATGTACTCATTGAGGTACGGTTAATCCTTCACAGGGTTTCCCTGGTGACATCGGAAAACCTGGACTCAATGGACCCGAGGGCCCAAAGGTGTGTTATTTATAAGGAAAACCTTATTAAAACAAGTGTTTTTAATATTTGTACACTTACATTTGCAACTTCATGCTGTTGACAAATGTTTTCTTCATAGGGTAAGCCTATAGTTTATGTTGATTCTATAATAAGCAGACACATGCACTCTTTGTATGTTTAATAACGCTACACTGCTAATATTTTTCATAAACATCCTTTATTGCTATAAAAAATACCATAGGCTGCATACAAAAGACAAAGAAAATATATTGTCATAATCATGTCTATTTGCTTTCATATTTCATGTGTAGAAAAATGTTTCACTCGATTTTTTTAATACAGAAGATCTAGCTAGACTAAAGCGTGAACGCACTCTGACTCATAACACTCGCGCACGTGGAAGAAAACGGACGGTGCTCTACAGATCACATGATTCAGTGGAGAATTATTAGAAATGTTATTCTGTATAAAGAACATGTGAGAATAAATCTGTTCTCAAATACCAACGATAACAAGAACTCAGCATCCACTCTCTTCTCTTATCCGGGATACTCTTCTTTGGTGTTTGTTGGTTTTCGAAACAGCGCCACCACACTCCCCCTTTTGTGCAACAGCAGCTGCTCCGGTCACGTGATCCTAGCTCAAATCTTATTGGACGACCCGTGTTTTTGCTTTGCGAAACTGAAAAGATTCGTCGGACTGGTGCGGAAAAAAACATTTGCATTTTTGGTGCGCGAATGTTCGCGGTCTATGTGGAAGTGTCCATAGAAATGTATTGTTTTATTCCAGCGCGTCATTGCGTCCGATATTCGTTTCGCTTTTTCGCGCTCAGTGTGGAAAGGCCTTTACTGTGATTTTGTTTGTAGTTTTTTTTTTTGTTGCAGTTTTGATGTTGTTTTAGAGGCTTTAAAGTTGCATCGATGATGGTATTGCATTTGTTAATTTTATACTGTTGCAAATTTACATCTTTGGGTGAATGGCTGTCAAAAAAATCTATCAATTTTGTATGCTTTTTTTTTGGGAAATTATTTGTTTTCTTTTGATTTATGGTTGAAAAAATTTATTTTTTATTAATGTTTTTGTTAAATCATTTTTATGTAAAACAGTTTGAATTGCAGCTGTGTATGAAATGTGCTCTATAAATGAAAAAAATTATTTAATTTCAATAACACATTGAGATCATGTGACATTCTCATTACACATAGGTTTCATTCTCTTTATGCAAAATGCAATTTATTTAGCAAAATGCAAAATGCATTTTCTGGTGCAGTCTAGTCTGTCGTCATCATTTGTCTTATAACAAATCTTTTATAGAAGGTTTTGTGTTTGCGATTTTGAAAATGTATATTGGAAATGTGTGTTTTTTTGTTTTAGAGGTCTTAAAGTTATATTGATGATGGTATTGCATTTGTTAATTTAAAGCTGTAAAGCTGCAAATATACATTTTTGGATGAATTGACCTCAGAACTTATCAAAAATATATTCATTTTTATACAAAATATATATTTTTAAATTATTTGTGGTTGAAAAATGACCAAGAGTCCGTTTTTATATTCTGTGTGAGCAAAGCAAAATGTGTATTCACCCAACGGACCACAAGGTGGCGCAATAGGGGATTTCAATTTCGAATAGCTTTAATTATGTTTAATATATCAATGAATTCTAGAGGCTGGGAATTTCTTTTGTAAATGACAGAAGGAATGAATAAATCCAGCATCGTAAAGCAGGATGCTCAGAATCTGCTGCGATCAGCCTCTGTATTACATAACATTCCCGCTCAGTCTCTGTTTTTCCTCTTTTCCCTTTCGTTCCACTTTTTTCTTGTTTAACCAAACTCAGTGCTTCTCTGGCACAAACTCAGAACATTTCTCTATGTTCTCCATGCATCATTCTGTCCTCAGACAGGTATCTGTTTTCCTCATCTCTGTCTGTGTCTCTGTTGTGCGGTCAGTAATTGGATATGTTTTGGTGAGACTTTCAGTATGTTCTTCTTTGTGCTCTGGACGCAGCTCTTGTGCATTAGTATGCATACTCATGTCTTGCTCCAACATAATCAAACATGTGACATATTTAATGGGTGAATCTCATGAAGAAATGTCATATTTCACCAAAAGCAAAGGGGAAGAAAAGAGAATTATGTTTTGCATAAAAATGAAGCTTGTTTATAACCATTACGATTTTTTTGCTATTATGAAATTATTTTCATTTATTTGGGAATCACTTAGACTTGCTAATTAGGACTACATTGAATGGCTTAACTCATGCATATCAATTGTGCATGATCTCTTATGCTTTGATGAATAATTTTCCAAGATTTCAAGTCAAAGCTGAATTATAAAACGCAACATTGTCATTAGAAATATCTGGAAGTAAATTAAACAATAATTAAATTCAGTATATTGTATTTTCTGTGTAGCGATAAATAATATTATAAAATAAGTATTATAATGTATTATAACTGTGTATACACTTATTAATGAGATCATACAATGCATTATAAGGTGTATTCCAAGGCAAAATTAATGCATTATATATAAAGGCTTTAAGTAAGTTTTTACTATTATTTACTTAAATTTCTTGCTTTTTTATTGTATTTATTATCACTTTTTTAGTCATTTTTGTAAAGCACTTTTTAATTACCGCTATATAACTGAGAAAATAATAATTTCGTTGTAATGCATTATATATTTTCATAAAAAAATAAAAATGCATTATATTTGCACATTTCTTGTTACATCTGAAATTGGTTGTTTGCTATGTGTTTTAATGCGTTATATTTTCTGTGTAACAATAAATAAGTATTATAATGTATTATAACTGTATTATAATGAGATGAAACAATGCATTATGAGGTGCATTACAAGGCATAATTAATGCATTAAAATGATTTTATAATGCATTATACATAAAGGCTTCAAGTAAAGGGTTACCAATATTTTTTTTTCCAAATTTTACTTTTTTATTGTATGTTTATAACTATCTTTAATCATTTTGTAAAGCACTTTTTAAGTATGAAGTGTGCTATATAAATGAAATTTATATATATTATATATATAATTCAATAGCGCAACAGTAGAATTGAGATCCCATGATGTTCTCATTACACATAAGCTCCATTCTGTTCATTCCATACAGTTTATTTTTTTCTCTTTCTGAAACAGTTTATATGTACACTCTAGTCTCATCATTATTTGTCTCATAACAAATGGTCTCTTTTCTGTCTGTGTTTCCAGGGTCTGATGAGCAGTAAGGGGTTCCCTGGGGCTGTTGGACCTGAAGGGGTCAAAGTGAGAACATAAACAGAATTTAAACACACACAAATCTCCTCCATACACACGGTCACTCAAACACTCTCTGATGTCTTTCAGGGCGAGCAGGGTGTCACAGGAAAGGCTGGACCCATGGGTGAGAGGGTGAGTACACAGACTGAGTTATGGCCTTTTACCACACTTTGACCCTCACACTGATGATGTTGTGTTTGTAGGGTCTCGTTGGCTTCATCGGCCCTGCAGGGGAGACTGGACTAGCTGGAGAGAAGGTAAGACACACCTGAGAGCATCAGCTCAGCATATTAGAATGATTTCTGATGGATCATGTGACACTGAAGACTGGAGTAATGATGCTGAAAATTCAGCTTTGATCACAGGATTAAATGACATTTTGCAATATATTCAAATAGAAAACAGTTATTTTAAATTGTAATTATATTTCACAATATTACTGTATTTTTTGATAAAAATAAATGCAGCCTTGGTGAGCAGAAGAGACTTCTTTCAAAAACATCAAAAAATCATTTGAGCCATAGTTTAAATGTTCTGTTATGTGATTTATTTAGGGTGATCGTGGAGAGATGGGATTGCCCGGGCCTCCAGGAGAGAAAGGATCTACCGTACGGCACACATACACCGCACATAAATTCTCAGCATGCACTTCCGCCCTCATTCTCGCTCCTTCAAATTATGAATGTTGTTTAAAACAGGAAGTTCAACTGTCCATCATAGATAAATGGCCCACTTCCTTCCAGCTCCTCAGCAAATGTCAAAAGTTTGGACAAAAGTTTTTGGCAAAATTAAGTATTCAGAATGTATTATTTAACTTGTAGAAAAAGTGGAAATCAGGATTAGGCATAAAATAAGGTCTTCAGAATCATTCATACTTGTGAAAATTGTGAGAATTGAACAAATAGTTATAATCTGTTCAGATTCAGACAGGAACCGTGTCTGTGTGTCAGTTTTCTGTTGATTAAGGGGTAATACAAGACTTCATCACCTTACAAATGATTGTCAAAAGCAAAAATGATACAAAATCCATAATATTTAGTGAGAAAGAGTGGCGTGCTTAAGCAAAACAGACACTATTTTTGAATCAGAATCCCAAAATTAGTAAAAAAAAAAAAGTATTGGATTTCATTCAGCAGATATGATGCAGGGTGGTGTAATCATGCCGTACTATAGAAGATATAATCTAATATTTTGTAATGTAGTATTTCATTTATACGCATATGTTGTATGTTTTGTATGGTGTGTGTGTCTTACATGTTTCCCATCACTTACAGGGGCACCCAGGAACCCCTGGAGAGAGCGGCCCACCAGGACCACCAGGCAGTCCAGTAAGTCGACAGCATTTACTTCAGATAGTTTGGATGTCAGAAGGAAGCTGATGGTTGTACGCCGGCATCACCTGCTGTCCTGTCGGTCAGCTGTCAGACACCTCTGTGTAACGTTCAGTGCTTACAGTTTGGACAGACAAAACAAACACAAACTCTTATTATCAGTGAGAGAGACAGGAGCCAGTCTGCCTGATATTAATCCCCCAAAAAGAGAAAAGAAACACAAGTGTGCACACGTAAATGGTCTCTTTTTTTTATAGGGCCCATCGGGATCACGTGGACCCATCGGCATGAGAGGAGCTAAAGGAAGACGGGTAAGTCATCTGGGCATCAGAAGTGTGTAAGCATGTGGAAGTCAGTTATTTTGCTTTTATCTTTAGTAAAACAGGACAAGGGCTGAACCTGTGGCCTTCTGATTACCAACCACCACACCGAACCATTTCAGTTATAGTTACTTTAACTGGTAGGTTAGTTGGTTAGTTGGTTAGTTAGTTAGTAGACTTATAGCCCAGGTAAGTTATCTGATAGATAGATTTTTAATTAGTAATTTAGTTAGTAAAACTGGTAGACTAGTTAGTCGTCCAGTAAATATATTTTTAGTTATTTAAAATGAACTAGGCTAGTTAAGATATCTGATAGATAGACTCTTTGTTAGTTAGTTAGTTAGTTAGTCGCCCAGATAGATAGATTCTCAGTTAAACTGGTTGGTAAGTTTAATTGACTGATATATAGATTCTTAGTAATTTAGTTAGTTAAACTAATAGACTAGTTAGTCATCCAATAAATTATTTGTTTGTTACACTTAACTAGGCTAGTTAAGTTATCTGTTAGTAGATTCTTTGTTAGTTAGTTGGTTAAACTGATAGGCTAGTTTGTCATCCGATAGATATATTCTTAGTTAAACTTAACTAGGCTAGGTAAGTTATCTCATATATTGATTCTTAAATAGTTGGTTAAACTGATAGGCTAGTAAGTCATCCAATAGATTCTTAGTTAAACTGGATGGCACGCTAAATCGTCTGATAGATAGATTCATAGTTAATTAGTCAGACCACATGTGTCAAACTCAAGGCCAGCGGGCCTATTCCGGCCCGCCACATCATTTTATGTGTCTTAAAATAAAAATCTATGCAGCTTTATATGGTAAATTATGAAAGTGCTTATCAATACCACAAGTTTCTGTTTCTATTTGCCGTTCTATTTATACGCATAAATTGTCTTTGGTGTGCATATGATACGCAATGGTTAGGATTAGGGGTGTGGGGTTTTTCCATTGATGATGACTGCGTGGACGGCTCAAAGGAATAAGATGCGGACCTCAGTGCTAGAGCCCCACTGACGGAAATGGAAAAACACAATATTCTTCATTCATTTAACGAATTAAAAAATCCATTGCAGCTTTCAGACATGACTTTCTTCTCGTTTTAAAAGTTCGTTTGAGGCTGTTTCTATTGAGTTATTTTAATGACAAATGTCCAGAGTGCATATTGCCTATGCGAGAGCGCATCAAATCTCTCTGCTCGCAGGTGGATTCCCATTCATTCACTCTCACAGAAAACGGATGCGTTATCGGTCAGACATTACATGTGTGCGCTCAAAAATGATCTTCTCTCCTGAGTTTAATAAACGCAACCTGGAGTGTGGGCATCCACTGGCAGAAACATACATTGGCGCATATGCCAACTAATGTAAATAAGTATTTACATAGCATAACAGTAGTAGTCTAAATGTATGTTTTGCACGTGTCAACAATACATTATGAAAATAAAAAGAAGCCGTTTTTTTTGCGATCACATCAACTGGCAAACTCCTGGAGGAGTCTAAGGATCCAGTAAGCAAATGCATTCAAACAGTACGTTCAAAACAGCGCTAATGCAGAGAAAACATGGCCGATTTCATCAGAGATGGCAGATATAATAGTACTCACGTACAGATGTCAGTAAAAAATTTTAAATCACCAAGCTATTTGGCTTAAAAGCACGAGTGTTTTATACTGGATGCTGGCTGAAGGTGTTTTGGATTACGCAGTAGTCAGTGGTTTAGTAAATCTGGATCAGTCAGGTCAAGGTAGCTCATTTAGTGGTCTTTTGGCATCCCCCTGTGTTCCTGTTTGGTATCGCAGATTTACTTTTTTTTTATTAAAAGTGCTGTCTGTTTTCTGTGAAGCTGCTTCGCAACAGTGTATCATGAAAAGTGCTACACAAATAAATGTGAATTGAATTGCAAACAGTTATTAATGAATTTATTTATTTATTTTGGCACTATATACATTCATTGCAAATTAAGAAAATTAAAAAGTACTTTTTTTAGTACTTTAGTTTGTATTTATTTATTTTTGGGTGGGGGAGTGGGGTTGAGTACCGCTTCTTTTTTTCTACTACAAGCATTGATTGTGTATCATCATTGAATTCAAACACGTGCATATCATATGCACGCCAAAGTCAATTTCTGCGTATAAATTGCATTGCCAAATAGAAACAGAAAATCGTGCTATACGCACCTTCATGAGACCGGACTCGTTTGTTTTTTTTAAATGCCATATCTGTCACACGTTCTTAGCAGCTCACAATTATTTGTTGTACCATAAATTTAACAAAAAAGTTTTTAACAAAGTTAATGTAATGACCTGTGTTTGATGATACTTGTCTTTATTTACTTTGATTTATGGAGTAATTTGGATTTCTTAACCTGATAAATTAAAAGGATTTATGTTAAAATAACATGGAGCAATAACATATTTTTACATCTATGCAAATGCATATGCAATATTTGTAACTTAAATAAGTAATAATAAAATAAAGAGACAGTTATTTAACAATATGTTAAGGAGTAGCAACATTTGTACAGTCTTACAGTTACAACTGGCCCTTTGATGGCAGCCATAATGTTGAAGTGGACAGTGAAAACGAGTTTGACACCCCTGAGTTAGACCATCTGATAGATCTTTATTAGTTAGCTAATCTGATAGGCTAGTTAGTCATCTGATAAATAGATTCTTATTTAATTAGTTAAACTGGTAGACTAGTTATTCATCAAATAGATCAAGTTCGTTATTTCAAATGTATACACGTGGTAAGTGCACTCATAAAAGATTAAAGCATTTCAACTTTTCAGAATGCCACAAGCGCTCCACGCGTCATGTGACAAGAACCAACCAATCAGCTTCACTCTTTCCTTAACAACATTGAAATTTAAGCCAAGATGAAGGAACAGCTGTTCATAACTGTACAGCGAAACCCATTTTTGAAATTCATCTAGTAGTAGAGCTACTACAAGTGATTTATGGTGCTGGAAATATATTTATCCTGTGCTGAAACTTTTGCGTTGTCATGGCGAGCGCACGTCATGGTTGCTTAGGCTAGTCTGATAGGCTAGTTAGTCGTCTAATAGATAGATTGTTATTTAGAATTAGTTATTTAGTCAGGTAGTTAGTTAGTTAAAGCTGCAGTCCGTAACCTTTTTTGGTTAAAAATGATCCGAAATAAATTTTTGAGCAAGTACATAACCAGCCAGTGTTCAAAGCTATCCCCTTACTTTAGCCCAATTCACAACGGTAAGCTTATAATAATGTTTTCTAATTTGAGTGGTACTGGTAGGAATTTACGGGAAATTCGAGCATGCCACTGCGTCATTACGTCACGTCTGTAAACATAAAGAAGTTGTCCCGGCTACTAGGCTATGGCATGCGAGGATCCTGCAGGTGGCCGATCGTTTATAGCCTTTTCTCACAGCAGCTGGAATAATTAAACATCATTTTGATCGGCGATTGTAATTCAGAAAGGATTATGTGTTTATGAAACACAAGTGACTGAAATTAGATTATACTCCAGTTTTAAATGCGCATCTGATTACAGATAGCCTGGGATTATACAAGATTTGTATTTTAAAGACAACCAGTTCTAAGTAAGAATAATTAGCTTTTTGGGTTAAAAATAAAATAATTTATTTATATGAAATTCGAATGGCATGACAATTAGAGATTACTGTAAATTGAAATCTACGCTAATACACACTACATACAAATAGTCACGCAATGCTGATGTTGTTAACATTAACAATTTAAAAACAGAGTATAACAGTAATAATAATTTGCACGGTTTGAAGTGATATGAGCTAATTAACTGATCGTTAGATTTAATCACCATTGTTAGCGCGATTTATTGTAATGCTTTTTTCCTCAGCTGGTCAGAACAAAAAGAGCAGACTTGTTACTTGCTTGTTCAGATGACAATATCTGGTGAAAATTCTTATTTGGGTCATATATTCCAATACGTAGGCTAGAATCTGTGATTCCGAAGTACAGTAAATATTCACACCGGTGCAGTGACCACTGACAGCTACACATACTCCTCAAAACATTAGATTAATCCGCGGTGGAGCCGTGCCGGTGCACAACCCACGTAATAAAGATAATTCCGCATGTAACTACAATTGCAGGTTTCAAAAAGAGATGGCGACAAAGAGGCAAAATTTACGGACTGCAGCTTTAAACTGGTAGACTAGTTAATAGTCAGATAGATAGATGCACACACTCGAAAACACACACATGGGAAATGTTTTCCATTAACCGACAGAATCAACAATAATTACTGGAGAGAAGACCGAGCACAGGGATGCAATGGAAACAAACTTAGGAGAGTTGAGAGTCTCTGTGCCACTGTCTGGTCTTAGTTAGAGCCCCTCACTGAGTCCGTAAATCAAGTTGTTGTCCTGATGATTCATTGATTCAGTGCTGATGATTTTGTTTCCTGCCTTCGTCACTGAGAACGGGCCAAAACAGCGTAGAGTGTATGTGATATACTGACAATGACTGAAGAGTCTTTATATATCATTGTCTTTATTTAAAACAGACGAAAACATATCTTTCAAAAATACTTTATGCAGGTAACGGTGAAACTATAACCAGTTCTTCAATGGTAGAAAAAAGCATTATTTATTATGCATGCATTATGTATAATATTTTATGTTGTTGTTTTGTTTTTGTTTTTATGCCCTCTTGACACTTTTTAGTGGTATTTGCTAAAGAAAGTATTACTATTACTTTAGATATTTGAACAAAATCCTAACTCCTTTATTAAAAAAAAGTCCCATAGACTTACTGAAGGAGGAACTCAAGACTTGCTGAAGGCTAGGCCGTGATTCTGACCTATTTTCTGTATATTTAATGTTCAAGTTCTGTTTAATGTCCTCATTTCTTGGCAATAAGGGCTTTTCTGTGACAAGTTCAATATGGTATCAGCACAATAGAAAGACATTCACTAACGTTCGTTGTGACCTTGGATGTTTCTCTGTATTTGAAGCATACAAATGAAAACTGCATTTACCTCCAGAAAGACATCATTGCTGCACTAAAAGGTGCTGAGAAGTAATGAGCCACTTTATTTTCTATGGTTTATGGATGTATAACGGGATGGCCAGAATATTAATAACAGTAGTAACCCATATGAGGTATTCCACATATTTGACTGAGTACCTTCAGCCCCTCCAGTGTGTGTGAGAGAGCGAAACAGACAAAGAGAGCGTGTGCCAGCTGGCAGAGACTGTGATGATATTGTTTCAACAGTCTGATGTTTTTTGGCTGGACGCACACACCATAAGATTGAGAATGTAATTATCAGCGCGCACACGTATTCTTCGAGAGGGAGCGAATGTGTGTCTGGTCTCTTGATGAAGTCCTTGTGTTCAGATCTCTTCAGATTTTATAGGCGAGCCAAACCGTTGTTTGTGATAGCGAGGATGATTCGGTTGTTTAGGATTGTGTAGCATTAAAGGAACACTCCACTATTTTTGAAAATAGGCTCATTTTCCAACTCCCCTAGAGTTAAACAGTTGAGTTTTACCGTTTTCGAATCCATTCAACCGATCTCCGTGTCTGGCGGTAGCACTTTTAGCTTAGCTTAGCATAGATCATTGAATCTGATTAGACCGTTGGCATCTCGCTCAAAAATGACCAAAGAGTTTCTATATTTTTCCTATTTAAAACTTGAGGAGAGTTGGAAAATGAGCCTATTTTCAAAAATAGTGGAGTGTTCCTTTAATGTGTAAGAGATTTTTTGTGTGCATCTAGACAAAGACAGATGCAACATAGTTCTGCGTCATGCTTGGACCATCAAGAGCCTCTTAAACATTGACCTACATGCACAACTCCAAATATCCCAACATATCCCACACATCCAAAATCTATAGTACAGCTCCCCCTAGTGTTTGAGGATATACTTCCGGATTTAAAGTGTGTGGTTTGCATTCTGCCATACTAATCATCTTTGCAGTACAGGGGAGGGTCAAACATGCTGGTTGGGATGTCACAAGATGGCTTAGATCATGAATATTATTTAGATTATGCTCAAATATTTTAAAATGATAATTTATTGTTTTAATAAATAGCCATGTAAGTAATATAATGATTCAGTGAGTATTTTCTATAGTAGTTATTTATATACATTAACACTCAGTGCTATTTTAGTATTATTTATATACTATAGTATTTATTAATAATGTGAATTAGCTTTTATTTTTATATTTTAGTATATTTGATGGAGCATTCATTCTTGTTGAGCAATTCAGTTTAATTTAATAAAATTTCAGTAAGGCTGTTAAACATTAAGAAGAAGAAGAAGAAATTTCAATAATATGATTAAAGACAATGCATTCAACCTGACCATTCAAGTGTGACCAAAAGTATTATAAGCTGTCACGTGATCTCCTTCTTAATTCTTATTATTTAATCAGACTGCCAAAGTTCACAAAAGTGTGTCCTTTTATGTACTGATTTGCGCCTCTGTTTTAGGGTCCTAGAGGTCCGGACGGTATGCCAGGCGATCTCGGTGCTGAAGGCAAAAAGGTAAAGGCCGCTGTCCTTCAGAGCTCACCTCATGACTAAAGATAAATGCTGTACATGTTTGAATCTAATGTTAATTTATGTCTCCTCACAGGGTCTTGATGGTCCTCCAGGAAAAATCGGTTTCCCGGGACAAGCGGTAAAAACACATTCTCCTTCTGATTGTGTTTCTACAGTAACTGTTGCCATGTCTCTCCGATCTTTTCTATGGTAACAGTCTCTGTGTCTGTCCAATCTCTCTGCAGGGCAAGTTTTAGGGTCCTAGAGGTCCGGACGGTATGCCAGGCGATCTCGGTGCTGAAGGCAAAAAGGTAAAGGCCGCTGTCCTTCAGAGCTCACCTCATGACTAAAGATAAATGCTGTACATGTTTGAATCTAATGTTAATTTATGTCTCCTCACAGGGTCTTGATGGTCCTCCAGGAAAAATCGGTTTCCCGGGACAAGCGGTAAAAACACATTCCCCTTCTGATTGTGTTTCTACAGTAACTGTTGCCATGTCTCTCCGATCTTTTCTATGGTAACAGTCTCTATGTCTGTCCAATCTCTCTGCAGGGCAAGATCGGGGAGCCTGGGGAGGCGGGGCCAAAGGGATTTCCGGTTAGTTTCTCTGTTGAAATTTATATACGGCATATTTTAGGACTGTTCCTTAAAAATGTCATTTATTTATGTAATAATAATAAATTTTATTTGTAGAGCACATTCCATAGATACAATGCAGCTCAATTTGTGTCACGGGACAAAAATATAAAAATAAATTATTTATAAAAAATATAAAATTTTTACAATATTCTCTTTTTTTAATGTTAATTTATTATTTATGATTTATTGTCATATTAATCATTGATTTATTTACTTGTTGCATTATTTAATTTATTCAACAATACATTTTGACTTTGTTTCTGTAGGGCATTCAAGGGCCATCCGGGGCTACAGGAGACAAAGGAATCGCAGGGGAGCCAGTGAGTGGTGCTTTATTTCTGTTCTACACACAGAAACACATTTTCCAGTGTCTTTTTATGTAAACCTACTTTACGTCCTCTGGGTGTTGCGCAACTCCAGAAGATGGGTTTTGAGCACTGTGTATTTTTGTCTCGTTCAGCCCTGAAATATATAGAACAATCGAATTCTCATGACCGAGTCCATGACTCTTTCTTGGCATTCAGTTGTCATATGTAGTTTGTTAAATGTTTGTGATTATGTAGCTGTAAAATGTAAGTAAGATCTGCAGTAGTTTTGCCAGGCTGTGAGACTGTACACACACATCTGCTTCACAGTTTAAGCCACAATTTGGCTTCAGATAATGGGAGATTGTAATGTTGAAATGTGCGTGTGTCTGTTTGTGTTGTGTTTGTATGTATGTATTACTGATAAATGATTTGTTTGTTTGGGACCAGGGACCTCCAGGGCCCCCAGGAACACTCGGGCCTCCTGGAAATCCAGGGCCAAAGGTAATACACTCCACACGTACACAAACACACGTCCAGGTTTTCTGCTGCTTCTGTCTGTTTTGGTTCCCTTGATTGTGAATGATACTGAGATTAAAATGATTGCCCTGTTTAATCCTATTTACTCCTCTTTCATTCTTTAATTGATTAATGAAAGTAATTTTAGGTCATTAATCCATCAGTTTTGGCACCAAAAAAGACATGGAAATAGAAAAATGTGTGCTCTCTCTTTGTCTCAGGGCCCTGCGGGAAAAGTTGGCGATCCCGGACTTCCAGGAGAACCTGGAGAAAAGGTGGGTAAATTGGTGGCTCTTTGCACTTTGGACTGGATTTTGGATTTGCACTTTGGATTGCATTTTTGCACTTTACTAAGGTAACTCTTGTTACCTTAAAAGCATAAGAGTCATAAGCATTTATTTGAAATAGAAATCTATTGTAACATTATAAATGTCATTACTCTCACTGTAAATCAGTTTAATGCGTCCTTTGTATGTATGTATTACTGATAAATGATTTGTTTGTTTGGGACCAGGGACCTCCAGGGCCCCCAGGAACACTCGGGCCTCCTGGAAATCCAGGGCCAAAGGTAATACACTCCACACGTACACAAACACACGTCCAGGTTTTCTGCTGCTTCTGTCTGTTTTGGTTCCCTTGATTGTGAATGATACTGAGATTAAAATGATTGCCCTGTTTAATCCTATTTACTCCTCTTTCATTCTTTAATTGATTAATGAAAGTAATTTTAGGTCATTAATCCATCAGTTTTGGCACCAAAAAAGACATGGAAATAGAAAAATGTGTGCTCTCTCTTTGTCTCAGGGCCCTGCGGGAAAAGTTGGCGATCCCGGACTTCCAGGAGAACCTGGAGAAAAGGTGGGTAAATTGTTGGCTCTTTGCACTTTGGACTGGATTTTGGATTTGCAATTTGGATTGCATTTTTGCACTTTACTAAGGTAACTCTTGTTACCTTAAAAGCATAAGAGTCATAAGCATTTCTTTGAAATAGAAATCTATTGTAACGTTATAAATGTCATTACTCTCACTGTAAATCAGTTTAATGCGTCCTTGCTAAATAAAAGTATTAATTTTCCAAACTTTTAAATGGTAGCATATCACATGTTTTACAGAAAAATAATAAGCAGTAAAAACTGTTTTCAACATTGATAATAATAGTAAATGTTTCTTGAGCAGCAAATCAGCATAATTTAATGATTTCTGAAGATCATGTGACACTGAAGACTGGAGTAATGATGCTGAAAATTCAGCTGCGCATCACAGGAATAAATGACATTTTACAATATATTCACATAAAAAAGCACTCAATTCAAATTGAAATAATATTTCACAGTATTGCTGTTTTTACTGTAAATGTTTGACTGGTAGTGTGTATATTATTTATATATGCTTATTTTGGCAACCTTGTAGTTGTTTTTTTATTTTTAAATTGTCTATTTTATGTTTATTGAATTGAATGGAAAATAACCAATAAAGGTTTTAAAACTGCATTCAAACGTTCTGAATTTTAGCAGCAGGTTTGGAAAAGTTCCATAAAACACTATAAAATAAATTGAAAATAACAGCCCACATAACATTTAGTTTGACTTCTGGAGATTGCTAATCAGCAATTTCCTCCTTTTCCTGCCCATTTGTTGGGGGAAAAAACTACATTTTAAGAGCTGGAGGCCCTATTTTGTACCCTATTCATGAAAAGAGCCTGAAATTAGCATCACAGGAATAAATGACATTTTACAATATATTCACATAAAAAAGCACTCAATTCAAATTGAAATAATATTTCACAGTATTGCTGTTTTTACTGTAAATGTTTGACTGGTAGTGTGTATATTATTTATATATGCTTATTTTGGCAACCTTGTAGTTGTTTTTTTATTTTTAAATTGTCTATTTTATGTTTATTTAATTTAATGGAAAATAACCAATAAAGGTTTTAAAACTGCATTCAAACGTTCTGAATTTTAGCAGCAGGTTTGGAAAAGTTCCATAAAACACTATAAAATAAATTGAAAATAACAGCCCACATAACATTTAGTTTGACTTCTGGAGATTGCTAATCAGCAATTTCCTCCTTTTCCTGCCCATTTGTTGGGGGAAAAAACTACATTTTAAGAGCTGGAGGCCCTATTTTGTACCCTATTCATGAAAAGAGCCTGAAATTAGTGTTAACCCATTTCCCATAATTTTCTTGCTTGAGGTGCTATTATGCTGCACTAAATAACTGTTGCTAAATCGGCTTTTCGTTGGCAGTTCAAGGCCCCATTGAGCTTCTGTAATGAGTAGCACAGTGCATGTGTCGCAATCACAGTCTGAAGAGGAACCATATGACTATATTTGTATTGTTAAAGTTAGATAATGTTAGCCTGAGCTTGGCAGACGCAGATGTGCTGTCACACATCATTAGTTATAATTGCTGTTTGGCTGACTGGACTTATGTAATTAAATAAAACGAACATGAACTTGCTAGAAAGAATAAAACAACCTGTGTGTTTGGACTCTTATTATGTCTTTTCATTGTTTTTGCAGGGGTCACTCGGGCCTGTGGGGAACGCTGGGGCAGCAGGACTAATCGGAACAAGGGTGTGTGTTCAATACGTCTGTGAAACATTGATTTGACGTGTATGAATGCACAAAAACAGTATTAATTTTATCATGTTTTTGTTTGTTTGATACAGGGAGAACCAGGTTTAGAGGGAGAGGCTGGTCCGGCTGGCCCTGATGGTGCCAAGGTAATAAATTGTTCACAAGTATTCAAAAATACATTATTTAAACCACAAAAATAGTTGAAAGAACAACAAATTGGTTTTGAACAGGGTGAAAAGGGCGACATGGGCGGAGAGGGCGAGCAGGGTGTCAGAGGTGACCCGGGAATCAAGGGGAAAGAAGGGCCACCGGGCGACCCTGGGCTTACTGGCGTCAGAGTGAGTGATGCAGATGTGCACAAACAATATCACACTCATATTTTACTTTATACTTCAAAACACATACTGCATACAGGGTTTTCAGTTAGTAAATAAAACGAGAGTACTAATTATGGGGAGTTTGGTGTTGTCTCATAATAAAGGCATGGCCCAAAAAAATCTAGTAAAAACCAAAAGATTAGGCAATCTTAAAATATGCAAAAAGTTTTAATTTTTACGAATAATATATATATATATATATTATAAATCTGGTAGTTAACCTTTGTAACATTCATGCGCTTTGGATTATGATCAGTAAAAACATATTTTTTTTGCATATTACATATGTCATCTATCACAAAAAACACTTGAAAAAAACTTGAAAAATGAGACAAATCTCAACAATTATGCCTAAAAATGACCGACAGAACTTTGACCCCTCAGAAAAGTTAGTGAATGGGGAAAAAGCTGTTATTTTAGTATTATTTATAATAGTATTTGTTAATATAATATTTAGAATTTGCTTTTATATATATTTTAATTTTTTCACATTTTAATTTTTCATTTTAGACTTTATAATTTAGAATTATAATTTTTGAATTTTAGCCTGTTTATTTAATATTTATATTTTAATTTGGATTTTTTATTTGGATAAAGCTTACATTTGAGTAATTTTAGTAATTAGTAATTTTTATATACTTTTGTCATTTTTGTTATTTATTATTATTATTTTTTATATTTCTACTTCACTTTAATTGGTTTTTATTTTAGTTTTAGTAATTCAAGTAACCTCAACTTTAAGTTAGTTTCCAAGGCAGGAGTTTTAATTTTCTAGTTTTCTACTTTTTTTATTATATTATATTATATTATATTATATTATATTATATTTTGTTAAGCTTTATTTCAATTAACATTAACTATTTTAATAGTTTTAGTTATTTTAATAATAATATATAATTTTTTGCAAAATGATGGTGGGGATTGTTTTTTTTTTGCTTCCCCTCATTTTTGCATGTGTGTTTTAGGGTCCTGAAGGAAAACCTGGCAAAAATGGCGAGAGAGGGAAGCCAGGGTTTAAGGTAAGACATTCGAGTTTAAGATAGCAAGTTATTTAATTCTCTTTAATCCATTGTGCACAGTAGCCATATTGACTGCACTTTCCCATTGCCTGCAGAGTGCCAAAGGTAACATCGGCCACCTGGGAGAGACAGGAGCCATGGGAAAGATCGGACCAATCGGAACCACCGGACCAAAGGGCTCTCGAGGAACCATCGGATATGTGGTAAACAGATACATCATCTTGTTAAGTTAGTTTTAGTAATACATCCATCTGACTTTTCTTTTGACCTGCACAAGAAGCCTGTCTGTTTCACCTTCTTTCTCATCTTTCTCATCTTTATGCCACTGTTGTTTCCATGCGATGTGCTAAAAATTACAATAAAGTTTACATTGACTTTGACTTTCTCAGGGCAGTCCCGGGCGTATGGGGATGCAGGGGGATCCGGGCATATCAGGATATGAGGTGAGAGCAAGAAACAAGTGCAAATAGCATCACACGATCATATTAGCACATTAACAATTGTTCATTTCCACATCAGTGCACTGATTTATCAGCTCAAGTCCTCTAGTGCTTGAAAGCTCTTTCTTTCTCTACAGGGTCACAAGGGACCTCAAGGTCCAGTAGGACCCCCGGGACCAAAGGGTGAAAAGGTCAAATGTATTTATGACTCATTTTGTTCATATATGTGACCTGCACAATTATGTCAACCTTCATGGGTGAATCTATGCTAGAAGTAGACCTAGAATACACAAAGCTTAGCTTTAAAATACAATGAGATTCCCTCACAGTGAATTTAAATGCCATGTTAAATGAATATAACAATGAAACAGCATCATAATATTATCATATTTTTTAGTATTAGGCACACTAATATAGTCACACAAACTGCTTTCACTCAGTTTTCTATAATCATCTGATGTTTTGCATTATGTAATATTCTAGGGTGAACAGGGGGATGATGGGAAGGTGGAAGGTCCTACTGGTCCTCCAGGACTCCAAGTGAGTCTCTCTTATTATCATGTTTAAATCTGTCTGTGAATTCCTCTAATTTCATTAGCGATATTTGCAGCTTCATGCATGTGTTTGTGTATTTTCAGGGTCTAGTTGGAAAGCGAGGAGACAGGGGCGAGCCGGGAGATCCAGGATACGCGGTGAGATAAGAAAGCATACTGTTGTCTTACTGCATATGAAGCGCATTAGCTCATTTGTTTACGTGCTGTCGGTGCACACCAACATGTGACCATTTCCTATAATAGATTAACAGCTGCCAACTGAAAGGCTGTTTTATATGGTAATTGGCTTAACATAAAAAATATGTTATAGATCACATTAAGATTAAAACTATTTCAAGATGGTTTTGATTTGGGTTCTTTGTAGACTAAAATATCCGCCAGCAAAAATATGCTTTGAGTGGAGATGTATGTGTTTTAATTAGATTATAGAACTTTTGATAGAGACTATATACAATATTATTAGCAATGTTTGCTAAGGAAAGCATCACTGTTGTCATAAATATTGCTCATTCTTTAGGAGTTTATACAGATCGAATGGTGAGATTTGCATGAACAAACAACACTTTTCAGATTTTCTTCAGAAAATTATTTCTTTTTTAATTTTAGTTATTATTAATAGTTAATAAATAAAATATATACATTATTAATTTATTAGTTTTTTAGTTTTATATATATATATATATATATATATATATATATATATATCGTTGCAATACTATTATAGTTTTTTATTAATTTTCTGTTATTTTTTAATACATCAAGTTCAACTAAATTAAAATGAGAAATTTAATAAATTTTTGTTTTTGTAAAGTTTTGAAATAAATAGTTTTTTAGTATTTTATATGAATTTCAGTTAATGTTTATTTTATTTCATATAATGAAAATGTTTTGAATGGTTTTAGTTTTAGTTAACTATAATAACACTGGTTTGTATGTGCAGGGTCAGCAAGGTGTTGATGGTTTTCGAGGCAAACCTGGTGCTCCTGGACTACCTGTGCGTATAATAATATGATTATCAGATCATGATTACAGACATACCTGCACTCAAATACACACACAAACACCTTTTTGTTTAATTCTTTTAATGCATTTTTAGGGTGATCCTGGTCCACGTGGGATACAAGGCCCTAAAGGATCCAAAGGAGAACAGGTAATGCTATGATTGCAGCTCATATGTGTGTATCTTTTGCAGGCTTTCAGATTTCATTACTTATGTTTTGGAATGGCAGCCATTAACAACATGTGGTAGAAATCAGAGTCTTGTCACATACTTCAGCAAAATGGGTTAGATGTATGTGTATGTTCATGCTGTATACGATTACTTCTGTGCCTGTGGTTTTCATCTTGGCATTACTTCTTTTTCTCACATGCTTTGTTATTCTCTGTCACTTTCTCTCTGTCTCAAAGGGTCAGAAGGGTAAACGGGGTCAGCAGGGAGAGCGTGGCAGCAGAGGCTCACCGGTAAGAGGACACAACTCTTTCATTTTAGTAGTAGTAAGAAATACAGGGCTAATATAAACTCAGATTTCAAAGAAATTATCACTGCCAAAGTCATGGATTTAGTTCCCAAGCAGCAAACAGACGCAGATAAAATTACTTGAATAGACAGTAAGTTACTTTGGATAAAAGTATCTGCCAAATGAAAAAAATATATAAATGTAAATAACAATGCTGCATTCAAATTAAGCGCCCCCTTATTTCTATATTATTTACATATTAATAATATAATACTTTATTTTTATATAATAATGACCCCAAATATGACCCCCAAATTTTTTGACAGTTTTTTTTTTATTCAACCAGCAATATTCTTCATAAGTAGTACATTTGCGTACACATTTTCCCTTTCTTCTTTAATAACTTACTAAATGCCCAGTTATCTCTGTATTTTCTCTCATCAGGGTGTTGTTGGGTTACCCGGCCCAAGAGGCACAGTGGGTCGAGAAGGACAGGAGGGCGTTCCTGGCATGGATGGGATCCCAGGGAAAGATGGAAGCAGAGGAATACCAGTAAGAATTCATCATCAGATCTGTGATTCCTGATCTATGATCTGTTTTAGCAAGTTCATTACATGCATCTTTCTCTTTCTTTTAGGGCGATCAGGGAGATGATGGCGAGTTTGGTTTGCCTGGTAAACCCGGTGCACCTGGCAAAGTTGGCGTTATCGGTTTACCAGGCCCACAGGGATCATTTGGTCCAAAGGTCAGAGAATAAAATTCTACCACGATTATCACTTATTCATTTATTTGTTTGTTTGTTTTGTTTATTTGTTTATTAACATCGTAGAAAAAATACAAAAAGAATTGAACTGAAGAAAATTTGACTAGTTATCAAATAT